AGCTGAATATAAGGGGCATCACAAGCCTTATAAAGTATTAATTCTTCTTCCAAATACATCACGTGCTAAAATTAATAAAATATTTATAATTTCTACATACTGAATTTATGACTTTATATTTTGAAGTTGAGTTTCTTTTGAATTTTTTTTTTTTGAGACAAGGTCTCACTTTGTCACCCAGGCTGGAGTGCAGTGGCACAATCTCAGCTCACTGTAGCCTTAACCTCCTGAGGTTTAAGCAATCCTCCTGCCTCAGCCCCCCAATTAGCTGGGAATATGGGCATGCGCCATGACACCCAGCTAATTTTTGTATTTTTTCACAGAGATGGGGTTTTGCCATGTTGCCCAGGCTGGTATTGAACTCCTGCCCTCAAGCGACCCACCCACCTTGGCCTCCCAAAGTGCTAGGATTACAGCTGTGGGCCACCACTCCCAGCTTTTGGAATTTAGTTTTAAGGATACTGTGATAGTTAATTTTATGTGTCAAGTTTGGCTAGGCCATGGTACCCAGGCATTTGATCAAACAGTAGTCTATGTTGCTGTGAAGGTATTTTCTACATGCAATTAGCAGTAGACTTTGAGTAAACCAGATTACTCTCCATAATGTGGATGCGCCTCATCCAACAGGTGAAGGGAGAATTCTACCAGCAGAATTGCCTTTGTACTTGAAACATCAGCTCTTCCTTGGGTCTCTGGTGTATTGGCCCACCCTGTAGATTTTGAACTTGTCAGTCTCCACAATCACCAGTCAATTCCTTGAAATAAATCTTTCTCTACATATCTTACTTGTTCTTTTTCTTTGGAGAACCCTAATTCAGATACTATTGACTCTTGGCACTACCATATCTATTTGTAGCCCTCAAATTGAGAGCATCGCAATGGGGGAAATGCCCACATATATCCCATGTTTCCTAGTAGTTTGAGATAACATCCTGTCAAAACACGTTCGAATTCAGCCAGATATTCTAACCTGGCTTCATTAACTCTCCTCACACATCTTTTCCAAATCTCAGCATTAAACAGTGATTGGAAGAGAAAAACACAAGACTGACGTGCAAAAGCATCTGATCCTGTTCTCTCCCTTCACAACTTTCTTCTTATGAGTATTCCCCAAGGCACCAGTTGAAAATATAAGAAACTGTGGCAGTCCTAAGGGACTCAAGGTTAAAAGACACCTTGAAAAATTTGCAAGGCTACTGAAAATGTAGTAAGGTGTCAAGAGTGGGATGGTCAGATTCAGGATGTATTTTGGAGATGAGGCAGCCAAAACAACTTACCAATGTCTTGGATGTAAGAGGTAGGACAAGGGGGCCCAGCGCAGTGGCTCACGCCTGTAATCACAGCACTTTGGGAGGCCGAGGCGGGAGGATCACGAGGTCAGGAGATTGAGACCATCCTGGCAAACACTGTCAAATCCTGTCTCTATTAAAAATACAAAAAATTAGCCAGGCGTGGTGGCGGCACCTGTAGTCCCAGCTACTCGGGAGGCTGAGGCAGGAGAATGGTGTGAACCCGGGAGGCGGAGCTTGCAGTGAGCCGAGATCGCACCACCGCACTCCAGCCTGGGAGACACAGCCAGACTCCGTCTCAAAAAAAAAAAAAAAAAAAAAAAGAGGTAGGAGAAGGGAACCAATAATTAAAAATCAAAAACTGCTGCTCTGAGAGAACCACATGAATTATTCAGTATCCAAGAAGAAATTCTAGAACAAATACTACTCAAATAATCCAAACATTGATTTGGTTGGTAATGGTGAATTCATTTTATTAACAGCAAGAATTATTTCCCTTAAATTAATTCTATGCTACTTTACAGTGCTCTCATAAGAAATAGGTAATCAATGGATATTTCTGAATTAAAAAAAATAGAGGCTGATTTGATTTGCACATAACGGCAAAATAACATGTTGCCTTTTTCTCTCTTAATCTGGGATTGTAAGGCAAACAGAGTACACATGGTTGACTTTCCTGCTTTTGTTGAGCACGGTCCTTTAGTAATTTACACTAACAATTATCAATCCTGTGCTTTAAAATTTCAATTCAAAGCATTCCCTTATAAAAAGCAGTTTAAAAAACATTACCAAAGACAGACCATAAGGAGAGTGTTTTAAGACTAAAATACTGATGGGTAGGTAAAGGGGTAATATGTTTTCCCAGGGAACAATTCATCAGCCTCTGACATGATGTTTGTTTTGTGAATCTCTTTTTTAAGAACAGTGAACGATTTAAAGGGAGACTAAAACACTGAAAAAAAAATGCTGTTCATATATTGTGTTCTTTTGAATTTTTATTTATATTTGTAACCTCTTTAGAACATTACAAGTATATACCTCATAATAAAAATGAAAATAATTCCATTTAAAATGCTATCTAGAAAGACCTTAACACATTATGTGTCATAATGAAGTAACACAAAGAAACTTCTTAAAACATAGGATTTCTCTCTAAAGCTTAAATGTGAGGCAGACAGACGTCTAACTTTAAAACAGATGGAACCCCAGAACATTTCCAGGATACATAAATCTGAATTTTGTGTCACATTTTATGCCTGAGACAGCTAACCAATCCAAATTGATGGTGAGGATTTCTGTACTCATTGTTTTTCCTATCTTCCCTTTCTAACATCCAAATTTAACAATTCAGTATTTCTTTTTCATAATCCTATGGATGACCATACCAGAATGTTTATGATTTTCATAATTTGCTCTGTGATTTGTAATCCTAAGTGTGTGCATATATTTAATCAACACATAGTAATAAGTAATACCAATTCATATGTACTGTGACATAAAAAAAGAAACATGAATTGCCACAAATAAACTGAGTTTATTTTATATTAAAGTTCTCAAAAAACACACCTATAAAATTACCCACATACTAGGTTTAGAGATAGCCTTTACAAAGAGATTATTAAAAATTGGGAAACTTATTTTCTCTTAACTATTAATGTACATAGATTTAAAAGGTGTTAGAAGACAAAAGGTTAAGTCATGGTCAATAGCTTAAAAAAGAGTTAATACACATTAAATCTGTAGCATACTACAAAAAGATTAAATCTTAAAAATATTTTGAGAAAAAAGCTATAATTTTCTTTCTGAAAAATTTAATCTTAAGTGATATTTACTAAGAAATATATACTACAAACCACAATAACAATGATCTCAAAATTTACCTAATTGCTTCACAAATGAGTCAACTTACAAAGAAAACACAGAAAATTGCTTTTAAATATATAATTCCTTAATTTTCCTGATAATCAAATGAAAATTTAGTCCATTCCAACTAAAAATACAAATTAGACTCATGCTTAATGTAAGATATCATTACATATTTCTCAACAACATAAAAGTTCAAGCATTTTTGTAAAGCACAGACTAGGTTATTCTAAAAAAGGAAAAAAAAGAAAAAATATTTAACCACAGAAATTTGGAATATTTATATACTTTATAACACTGTAGAAATCTTTGGTGGTGACATATGGAATACGATCCCTGAAAATACTTTAATCATTTTGTCCCATCAATCAGTGTAGTCAAGTATTTATAATCAGTAATATTGGCAGTATAATTTTTTAGCCAAATACACACACACACACACATATATATATTGTGATGTGAGGGGGATCTTATGCAGGACCTAGGTGGGCTTACATAATTAATTATTTAGCAATAAGGCTTATTTCTGGCTCCTTTTTATACCAGGAAAAATATGGTAAACTAAAGAATGGGTCAATTCTTACTTCTAAACAAACTCTGGAAATAGTTAAATACTAATGGACAAGTTGAGTAAATGTATGGCAAAATAAAATACCAGCTGCAATTTCTGGATAAACTCAAACAGCTACCAAAATAGTTCCCTAAATAGATTTGTGCATCTAATGCCCATGCTCCATGTGCTGGCAGAGGAAAAAACAAGGCACTGTGGTCTATGGATACATTTACCTCTTTAAAAACCAATAGACTTAAAAGGAGAAACAAAAAAAGATCTGTTCTATCTTAAAATAAACAAAAATGTATAGGCTAATTAGACAAAGTTCGAAGAAAAGGGCCCGCTAAAACACATGTAAGGGAAAAGAACCAAAATTTAAGAAATGTAAAAGAGAAAGAAGAGTAAAATGATATTAACTGTATAATGATGTGAGGAAGGATATCAGAGGAAGCACTGTGAATGTGAAAGAGTACAGTTAAACAGGACTTGTACTTCCTCTTTGAGACTATCTTTGATAAAGCATTTTGAGTCTAGAAGTACAGAGGAATAAATAATTTCTTCAGTTTAGAACAGTAATACGAGTTTACTAAAGAATAGGTTTAATACTGAGACTAGACTTTAAAGAGATAAAATGGCTGGGTGTGGTGGCTCATGCCTGTAATCCCAGCACTTTGGGAGGCCGAGGCGGGCAGATCACGAGGTCAAGAGATGGAGACCATCCTGGGCAACATGGTTAAACCCCCTCTCTACGAAAAAGACAAAAATTAGCTGGGCATGGTAGCACATGCCTATAGTCCCAGCTACTCGGGCGGCTGAGGCAGGAGAATCGCTGGAACCCGTGAGGCGGAGGTTGCAGTGAGCCAAGATCGCGCCACTGTACTCCAGCCTGGCGACAGAGCAAGATTCCGTCTCAAAAAACAAAACAAAACAAAACAAAAAAACGTGCAAATCAGCTCCCACAGATAAAGTTCTTGACTCACATGACCTTATTAGGAAACTTCAGATGATACTGCCTCTGAGTAGGAAACACAAGGAGAGTGTAACAGTTATATTAAGAAGTCTAGTACCAGGTCATATAAATAAAACTCTCTTCAGATAATTTACAATTAGGATTCATAGGAATTTGGAATACAAATTAGAGTCCTTCCAGAAACGAAGAGGCTAAAAATTAGTTAGGGTAAAGTAGATAGAGTTATTCAGAATTAAACTTTGGGGGAAAAAAAACTGAATTTTACTTATTGCTATATATGAAGAATGTGAAATTATCCATAAAATATTTTATGACTATTATCATGAGACAATGTATGCATTATACCAAGGTACTCCTGTGTAAACATTATATTCTTGGCCAATACTCTGAGGAGGTCCTGAATATACATTACCAGCTGGCTTCATTTCTTAAAAGGGAGACAGATCAAAGATCTCTCAAATCTCTCTCATCATTTTATCTTTTGGACAAACAAATAGAACAGTCAAATAAATTACCTGAACAAGCATAATAAGTACAAATTTGATTATTGATCACTACCACCAAAAATATATTGACTTAGGGTTCATAATGCATAGTTATCAGTTCAAGCTAAAAAAGCCTTAAGAGTTCGGTAACTCAAAATCTCTTTGAGATTTACAGTTAAAAAGTAATATGTTTCTAATAGTTTTTAATGTGTAGGATTAATGACAACTGTATTTTGCATTGGCAAATTATCTCAGCCAGAAGAGATTCAAATGATTTTCGTCAAAGCCAATTTATAAACTAGCAGCACATATCAATGCCAAGCTTGTGAATGGACTGGCTGAGAAAAATTGCATGAGTTAGAAGGGATATAAGTGCTATACTGGTTACTGATTCTATTTCACAAAAGCTACCATTTTTAAAAGCTGAAAACATAATTGGTGTTGACAAAAACATGTTAAATTCAACTACTCTGTATAGCTAAATATAGGTTAATTAAAGTAACTTCTTATTTGTTAAGAAGATAATTAAAAATAGTTAAAACTGAACAATTAGGTATGCTTTTATATTATTAAAATCCAATGAATTTAACAAATGAAACCCACAGGAAAACAGATGATATAATTCAAGGCATAGATTTGACATGTCAGAATACGGCAAACAACAATAAAGATAGCATCAGTAAAACAGTTGTAAAATAAGTAAACAATTTTCAAGTGTGCAAAACTAGTCAGGAATAAAAGTGCTATGTGTGGATACCTGGTTTTCAAATATTTGTTTCAAAAACTTTCAGCTGATGGTGGAAAAACTAGAAAGTATTATACAAGTAAAAATTTAAAGAATATATAAAACATACTTTATTATATTACATTATGTCCTTATTATGTCACTGCTGGATCTGGGGCCTATTTAATTACCAGATATAACACAAAAGGAAGTAAACACAGTACATCACAAAGGCTGATTTATCCTGAACCATAAAAAGACTCCTTTCAAGTATACTGTGGATTTGTGTTTCATCTTATATCTCAGGCACTCTATGCTGTTGATGAATTTGAAAATGGACAACATGATTTTCTATAATTTCTAATATACATATTAGTACATCTTGCAGAACTGCCTTTAGTAGTCAATATTTGGAAGCAATTGTTAAAGAAATAAAAACGATTTAAATTCATGAAAGTAAATCCCATCACTGCCACAATTTAAATAATCATTTTAATGTGTAAATCCTGAATATATCATGTTAGAAGATGAAGTCGATGTATTTAGCATAATCTGTCTTAGGATATTTGAAGTGTAGATGACTAAAAATACACTTGTGGTCGCTTCTTCACTTTATATTTCAGTGACCCGTACCGTACCTGAAGAGAGAAATGTTTTATTGTTAAGAATTAGATCAAAAAAAAAAAAAAAGAATTAGGTGATTACTTTAAAAATTACATCAGATTTAATAGTTCATAGTGATTTTTTTACCTTTTTGATATAAAGAATAAATTATCCTAATAAATGAGCACTACTTATCAGCTCATAAAAATGTAGTTGGCACTATTTAGATATATGTTACAGATTATTATTACTAATAACATGTTACATATATGTTACAGATTATTATTACTAATAACATAAAAACACTAATGTAACATAAAAACATTAATCCTATTATTTATGTTTTGCTTAGTACAATGTCAATGAACATTGATTATAATGATCAGAGGCCATTCGCAGTTCTCCACTGCTTTCTCGGTACAAAGACAGTATGTTATGGTTAACTGTTTACTATTTAATCTTCATGTAGCATTAGTTGAAAGCAAAACTGTGTGGTTAATTTTGTTCGTTGCTTTCTTTGTTTATGCATAGTTCTGGGACTGGGTATTTGAACTATGTGATTTGCTAAATGAGAATGCCATTTTCTACTTATAGCGGAAGATCAAGAGCTTACTATTTTCAAAATTTCCTGATATCCTGAAACATCGATCTGAATAAAGAATTTTAAATATAGCCTGGGCGCAGTGGCTCAAGCCTGTAATCCCAGCCCTTTGGGAGGCCGAGACAGGCGGATCACGAGGTCAGAAGATTGAGACCATCCTGGCTACCACGGTGAACCCCCGTCTCTACTAAAAAATACAAAAAACGTTGCCGGGCGAGGTGGCGGGCGCCTGTAGTCCCAGCTACTCGGGAGGCTGAGGCAGGAGAATGGCGTAAACCCAGGAGGCGGAGCTTGCAGTGAGCTGAGATCAGGACACTGCACTCCAGCCTGGGCGACAGAGCAAGACTCTGTCTCAAAAAAAAAAAAATAAAATAAAATAAACTGCTGGCTGGGTGAGATGGCTCACGCCTGGAATCCCAGCACTTCGAGAGGCAGAAGCGAGAGGATTGCTTGAGGCCAGGTGTTGGAGACCAGCCTGGGCAACATGGTGAAACCCCATCTACAAACAAGGAAAAAATGAGCCAGGTGTGGTGGCGTGTGCCTGTAGTTCCAGCTACTTGGGAGACTGAGGTGGGAGGACTGCTTGAGCCTAGGAATTTGAGGCTGCAGTAAACTGTGATTACATCACACTGCACTCCAATTTGGTTGACAGAGCAAAAAAGCTGTATCCCCAAAAAAGTTAAAAAAAAAAAATCATCCAACTGCTGTTCTACCATTCCAATCCTTCATTTATGGATCATTAATACTCTAAATGATAATGCAGCAGAGAAATCGTTTAATCATTAGGAAAACAGCTCTACACTTAACTAACCTCTTTGCGGCCTTTGGTGGTTTTCACAGATTTCATGCTTTGTGATCTTCGAAGTCCTTTGTGTGTTAACATCTCATCATCTGAATATGGCCCGTCTGCTTCCTCATCTGTTTTCTCATCTCCATCTTTCAGTGGAATTCCATAACCTAAACAAGTTGTCAAAAACAGCATGTTTTGGTAAAAGGACACCAGTCAGTGCTGGCTCTTTGCCCCATCTGTGTACAGTTCTTTGTATGGTTTGCATTTCCCCCAGTTACTCTTTTTGCATCTGGAATGTGCTGCATACCCTTTATCATTATAAGCTTTGCCTCTTGCACTATTCCAGGTGAAACTCATAACTCATTTCCTCCAGGAAAATTTCCCTGATCATTCTTATTTTTACTATGCATTTTTAAAAATAATAATAAAATAATTTATTTTTGAGTAGGTAACACATCATCTTGTTAAAAAGTTCGAGACTATAAATAGATGTAGAGGAAAAAGTCTCTTCCCACCTTTTCTCCTCTTCATGAATTCAACCCAAGCATTTGTGTTTTAGTCTGTCATTTGCACTTTTGCCTTGAATTAGGAATTAAGGCTTTTCCCTTCTACGTGTCATCTTTTGTCAAGACTGGGAATGGTAGGCTTTACTTAAGGTGTTGAGGAAGACCCCAGGGGGCTAGAACTTTGGGCAAAATAAGGTCACCGGGGGCAGGTGATGAGGATGAGGATGTTAGCTGCTGTTGCAGTTGTTGAGAAAAAACTCAGCCAGGTAGGCTGCAGTAATTAGAAGTACCACAGACTATGTGACAGATATTAGTCAAACAAAATAGAATCAGGCAGAGCAATGAGAGATCATGCGAGTATGCTAGAAGGCTGTTATGTGTAGCTATAAAGACTTACTACGGGCCAATATGCAAACATCCACACAGTCAGGATGGTTATTGTCAGGAAGTATGAGAGCATCTTGAGGCTTGGCCTCAAGGACAAAAACTCTTTCAACCCTCAAGCTAAGGTTCTCAAACTTGAGCACGCTAGAGTACCTAGAGAACCTGTTAATACAAGTTCTGACATCCCCAGAACTTCTGATTCAGCAGATTTGAGGTGGGGCTGAGAATCTGCATTTCTGACAAGTTCCCAGGTAATGCTTGTGCTCATGGTCTCTGGTCCATACTTTGAGAACCACCGCCTGAGGATGCTGGAGACAGCAAGACAGGGGCCCAAGTCTCAGGCAACCAGAGTACTAAGTAGGTTATAAAGAAAGGGGTGAGATTAGAAATCCCCATGAAGTGGCCAGGCGCGGTGGCTCACGCCTGCAATACCAGTACTTTGGGAGGCCAAGGCGGGCAGATCATGAGGTCAGGAGATCGAGACCACCCTGGCTAACATGGTGAAACCCCACCTCTACTAAAAATACAAAAAAATTAGCCAGGCGTGGTAGCAGGCAGCTGTAGTCCCAGCTGCTCGGGAGGCTGAGGCAGGATAATGGCGTGAATCCGGGAGGCAGAGTTTGTAGTGAGCTGAGATCGCGCCACTGCACTCCAGTCTGGATGACAGAGCGAGTCTCCATATCAAAAAAAAAAAAAAAAAAAGAAAAGAAATCTCCATGAAGTTATAAATTCTCCTTTAACAAAGATAAGGAGCATAAATACTTAAATCTTCAGGTGAGGAGAAAGTGGAAGGACTTCCAGCCAGGTGCAGTGGCTCACACCTGTAATTCCAGCACTTTGGGAGGCCAAGGTGGGCAGATCACCTGAGGTCAGGAATTCGAGACCAGCCTGGCCAACATGGTGAAACACCCGAGTCTATTAAAAATACAGAAATTAGCTGGGTGTGGTGGCAGGAGCCTGTAATCCCAGCTACTTGGGAGGCTGAGGCAGAAGAATCACTTGAGCCCAGGAAGTGGAGGTTGCAGTGAATGGAGATTGTGTCACTGCACTCCAGCTTGGGTGACAGAGCAAGACTTCGTCTCCACAAAAAAAAAAAAAAAAAAAAAAAAAAAAAAAAAAAGGAGAAGGATTTCCAGGCTCAGGAGAAGGCATGGGATAGATTCCATGCATGTGATAAAAAATAAAACTGGGCTGGGCTTGGTGGTGGCTCATGCCTGTAATGCCAGCACTTTGGGAAGTCAGGCGGATCACTTAAGCTTAGGAGTTCTTCAGCCTGGGCAACATGGTGAAAAAATACAAAAATTAGCTGGGCATGGTGTTGTGCACCTGTAGTCCTAGCTACTCCAAAGGCTGAGGTGGGAGGATCACCTGAGCCTGGGGAGTCAAGGCTGCAGTGAGCTGTGATCATGCCACTGCATTATAGCCTGTTTCAAAAAACACACATATTTAAAAAAATTGAATACATGTTTATTGGTCTGCTCTTCTAAGACATGAATAATTTGAGAATCACTAAGAAAACTACAAAGAGTCATGAATAAGCTTGTTACTCTCATAATAAGCAACTTGAATTGTATATTAGTCAAGTATAATTTTATGCTCTTAGACTTCTAGGCTAGAAGTCAGAGGAGATTTGGAAGTGGAATCAGTCATTATTTAGGCCAAGATCCTTTGTTTTCTTGCACTGGTCCAAGGAAGTGTGTGTGTTCTGGGTAGAAGAGACAGCATGCACAGAGGCACTGAGGAGAGTAGCTAGGGCTTGGGGATTGCTTAGAAGAACTGCAAGGAGGCCAGTGTGACCAGAAAGGGGATGGGTCAGTGGTCCTGGGAAAAAGCTCCTGAAATAATATTAAGTGTGGAAAAAAAATGTACGTATAGAAACAAACAAAGGAAAAACATAAATGAAACGATTATATCTCATGGAAGTGAGCTTTTAGGTGTTTCTAAATTTTTTCATTTTTTCTTTTTTTACTTGCCAAATTCTTATTTTTAAAAAATGTTCATTTTATAATTGAGAAAAACGAACGAGGTTTAAAGTTTAGGTTGTCATTTCTAGAGTTTTTTTTTTCTATTGATGTTGCTTATATAGTATTCCTGATCCCAATATGGTAAAACAGAATGAGGAATCAAGGAAAAAGTCAGAAAGGAAGTAACTGTGATAAACAATTTCTCTAAGGCCACAAATGTAGCATAAGAGCACAGTTCAACAAACACAGTCCTTGCTATTTTAATTGCCTCTTATTTTGTATGATTAGGAATTGGAATTTCGTTCAAAGGCTGATTATACATCTTATTTTTTTCTTTTTTCCTAATTCCGGCTAAAAAAAAATCTTATTAGCTTTCTAATTACAGCTTCAGGAAAAGTGATGGATTGATTCATTACTCCAAGTATTTTAAAAATTATATTATGAATAAGGCAGTGTACTGAATTATGAGGATACAAAGATGAAAAAGACATAGCTGTCTTTTTCTACCCTCAAAAAATTTAGGGTCCAATAGGGGAAACAGAATGCAATGGGCATTATGATACTGTAATAAATGCTATAAGCTAATGATAAGGTGCTGGGGGGGCATACAGTAAGAGAATGTAATCAGCATGGGGTGGGTTGGAAAGGGTGGGTTATGAGAGAAGGCCTTGTAGGAGGTGGTGGCTAAGCTAAATCCTCAAAGAGTCATGATTCTGTATGACTAGCACTCGATGGAGTAGGAGAACAAGGCTGGGGAGTTAATATACCATGCTATCTAGTTTGGACTTCATCAGAGAGCAGTGAAGCCTCTGGAGGCTCGGGGAAAGTACTGAAATGTTTTAAGCAGAAGAGTAACATGATTAGACTTGGGCTGTGTAAAATATTCTTCTTGCACTTTGGAAAATGAATCAGAAATGGATAAGGCTGAGGGCAGGGAGCCTAACTGGGGAGGTTACTTAGTATAGCAGGTCAGAAATGACAGAGTCCACAGAGAGTGAGGACAGAGCAAGGAGCCAAAATTAGAATTTATTGGGAAATGAAATTAACAAGTTTAGGCCAGGTGCGGTGGCTCACGCCTGTAATCCCAGCACTTTGGGAGGTTGAGGCGGGTGGATGACTTGAGGCCAGTAGTTTGAGACTAGCCTGGCCAATATGGCAAAACCCCATCTCTACTAAAAAATACAAAAATTAGCTGGGTGTGATGGCACGTGCCTGTAATCCCAGCTACTCGGGAGGCTGGGGCAGAGAATCGCTTGAACCTGGGAGGTGGAGGCTGCAGTGAGCTGAGATCGCGCCACTGCACTCCAGCCTGGGCGACAGAGTGAGACTCCACCTCAGAAAAAAAAAAAAAAAAAGTTTAATTTAGCAATTTATTAACCAATCTTTGAATCGAAGAGAGTGGAGACACTAGAATCAAGTCAAATATTTTCATTAAAATATACATTTTCTGGCTGGGCTTGGTTCCTCATGCCTGTAATCCTAGCACTTTGGGAAGCAGAGGTGGGAAGATCACTTGAACTGAGGAATTTGAGACCAGCTTGGGCAACATACTGAGATCCCATCTCCATTAATATATTTAAAAAAAAAATACATTTTCTGTTTAACTTAAAACCTGAAAATGAATAACTTATTTTTTTTAAAGGAGAGTACGGCTGATTTACTTCTGATTTTAAGATTAATAGGTTAATTTAAAAAACAATAACAAATGAAAAAGCTCACTACTCAGGGCTAAACACTGTTACCATTTTAGTAATACCCTTCCAAACTTTCTCTTATGTATATACATTAAACAAATTAGGTATATTAATCCATTTCATCATCTACTTATTATTTTTTCCCTACAATCTGGATATATTTTCATATCATTAAGTATAGATTGACATTGTTATGTTTCACAGCTAATAAACCACCTTTTGCTTAATCATTTCTCCTAGGCATTTCGTTCATTCCAATATTTGTTATTATAAACAACGAGATGAACATTGTTGTACATGCATATTTGAACACTTGTCTGATTATTTCCTTATGACATATTCTTAAAAGTTTCTTGCTGAGCTAAAGGGAATAAATTATGATGATTACTGCCAGATTGTCATCCAAAAGGATTATTCCATTTTAAACTCATAAAAAGTGCCTAAGAGTGTTTCTCAACAGGCTTGCTGTAGTGGTTTTAAAACATGTCTACAGATTCTCTGACATTCCTCTTCCCTTCCCTTAACATTTCAGAGGCCTTTGTACTTGCCTCAACAAATCGCCACAAAACATGTGACGGAAGTGATGCTGCTTCTAGGACTTCTGCAAGTTTCTCTCGGCACACTGGCCTGGGAGGCTTCAGCTGCCAGGTAAGAAATCTAACCACCCTTAGAGACCACATGGAGAGAACATAGAGGGAGATGGCTGAGAGGCTCCAACCATTCTAGCCAGCAGCTGCTTGACTCTTTTCAGCTCAGACAGCAGATGTGTGAGCTCTCTTTGAGATTGTAACTCTAGCCCAGCTGCTGTCAGACCACAGCTGCAGGAGACCCTGAGCAAGAACTGCTTTGCCAAGTCAAGTCACCCCCAGATCTGTGGGCAAGATAAATGACCATGATTGTTTCAAGCTGCTGTTTTGGGGTGGCTTATTATGCAGCAATAGATAACTAGATAACTGAAACAGTTCCCAACACAGAGCACTGTTAATTAAAAACATTTTTTTTTTTTTGCCAATCTGGCAAATGACAATTATTATTATTACTATTTTTTGATTATCTGAGGCTGAGAATCTCTTTCATATATTTCTTGACCAATTGTATTCTTTGGTAGCATTGACAATAATTGGTTTGTGAGGGTTACTGGATTGTTGAATCTGAACTCTTTGCCTGTAACATATGATGGGAATACTTCTGACAGTTTGTAGTTTGTCATTTTTATGTTTTCCCCCCATATTATAATTTTATATATTTTTTATGTAGGAAAATCTTAAAAACTATTCCATTATGGTTTCTGGTTTTGATATCATGCTTAAGAAATTTTATCTATCTTAAGATTATAAAAAAATTCACAGGGACTTCCTACTACATAGTTTAATTTTTTTATACTTAAATCTTAATCTTTTAAGAATTTATTTTGATCTAAGATTTGAGGCAGAGATATAACTTCATTCTCTACTCCATCTTCTAGCAGTCTAACAGTTTTCCCAGCATAACTTATTAAATAATCTGTCTTTCCTCCACTAATTTGAAAGATTGTCGTTCTCATTTGATAGATTTCCATGTACACCTGGGTTTGTGTCTATCTAGATGATCTATTATTAACTTCTCTTCACCTATTCCGGTCCTAGAACCATACTGCTTTGTTAAAAATATGGTCAAGAGAGAAAGTTTTGATGAAAGTGTTTCCTTAGGGAAGAAAGGCTCAGAATATATACCATTCTGTAGAAAAATTGGAAACTGCGCAGAGTTTATAACTCTGAACAAGTACCTTTCATAACTGAACAAGTATCTTTCTCATACTGCTACCACATACTTCATATTTTTATAAAACTTATTTAAATTCATGATTTGAAATTTAAGAACTAAACAGCAAGTCAATATTTTAAAATATTTTAGTCATAGATATAAAATTTGGTAGGTGGCCGGGTGCGATGGCTCATGCCTGTAATCCCAGCACTTTGGGAAGCTGAAGTGGGCGGATCACAAGGTCAGGAGTTCGAGACCAGCCTGACCAACATGGTGAAACCCCGTCTCTACTAAAAATATAAAAATTAACCAGGCGTGGTGGCGCACACCTGTAATCCCAGATACTCAGGAAGGCTAAGGCAGGAGAATCTCATGAACCTGGGAGGCGGAGGTTGCAGTGAGTCGAGATCGTGCCACTGCACACCAGCCTGAGTGACAGAGATAGATTCCATCTCAAAAAAAAAAAAAAAAAAAAAAAAAAAAAAAAAAAAAAAAGGTGAGCACCATAAAAATAGTATTATGAATTTTCACCCTTATAAACCTGTTTTTATTTACCTACTTAGAACATAATTCTTAGCCAATCCTTGGGTATGATTATGAATAAACTGCTAAAAAAGGACTCTGGTCTAAGATACTTGGTCTAAATCAGCAAAATATAATACATACAGCAGATTCCATAATCAAAATCAATATACCTATTTTTTTTTTTTTTGAGGTAGAGTGTCTCTCTGTCACTCAGGCTGGAGTGCAGTGGCGTGATCTCAGCTCATAGCAACCTTTGTCTCCTGGGTTCAAGCAATTCTCCTGCCTCAGCCTCCCGGATAGCTGGGACTCCAGGCATACACAACCACATCTGGCTAATTTTTGTATTTTTGGTGGAGACAGGGTTTCGCCATGTTGGCCAGGCTGGTCTCGAACGCCTAACCTCAGGGAATCCACCCACCTTGGCCTCCCAAAGCTCTGGCATTACAGGTGTGAGCCACTGTGCCTGACCACCTAATTTTAAATGCATATTAAGAAATACCAAGGCCAGGTGGTGTGGCACATGCCTGCAATCCCACCCAGCACTCTGGGAGGCCGAGACATGCAGACTGCTTGAGCCCAGGAGTTTGAGGCCAGTCTGGGTAACATGGTGAAGCCCCGTCTCTACAAAAAATGGAAAAATTAGCAGGGAATGGTGGTGCATACCTGTAGTCCCAGCTTCCTGGGAGGCTGAGACAGGCTCACTTGAACCTGGGAAGTCAAAGCTGCAGTGAGTAGAGATTGTACCACTGCACTCCAGCCTGAGTGACAGAGTGAGATCCTATTTCAAAATATATAAACAACAAAAACAAAAACAAAAAAAATAAAAAAAGGAAATGTCTACATTAGGAACTACTTTTACATTATTAATGTACTAATAAGACTGATGGTTCCTTGCTCTCAAAGGCATCGCTACCTTAATCAATGGCCAATGCTTGATCACTACCTCTTAGATAATAGTCAAAACTTTGTAAAGGTATTCATTTTTGGAAGAAAGCTCATTATTTTTTCTTTTTTCCTGAGAAAGGGTCTTGCTCTGTCACCTAGTCTGGAGTGCAGTGCTGTGATCATGGCTCACTGTAGCCTCGACTTCTGGGCTGAAGTGATTTTCCCATCTACCTCCCAAGTAGCTGGGTGAGTACCACCATGCTCGGCTAATAAAAAAAAAATTGTTTTTGCAGAGGTATTTTTCCTTTTTAAGGAGGAACAGGTTTTTTTTTTTCAAATTTTTCAAATTGGTTTTAAAGATGATTTTCAATCTCTCTCAAAAGAAAACTTCTTTTTTAAATAAAAAGTCAAATAGCCCTGTACCTTATGGACTTAACACATTAATAAGGAATGTCTTGAAAATCTTAGTTCTCAGCCTTGCCTTTGAATTCAAACTTTCTTATTATATGTGATAAAATGACTAAGGAACCGTGTCTAATTTATATGTATGTTTCTAAGATCATGATAGTTTTTTAAAGTTTTAGAATATATTAACTATGACATGTTCATAATTTATACTAGAATATGCCTACAAGTTAGCTCTTGAACTAGAATATGTAATTTCAACACATTTTCCATGGGAGTAATCTTATTTTTAAATTGAGTCATCTTTTATCACGTGCTTAAAACTTTTAATCTGTGAGTCAATATCCTTATTTGTCCACAGCACTTACAGTGAAGAGTGTTCAACTATAAAACTCCTTAGATGTCAGTGCACAGTTTGAGTAGAAAGAGTATTTATTACAGGTTAGAACTAGTGCTGGTGGTAAGAAGGTATTGGTAACCACACCTACAGCTTCTAAAAATTAATGGCAGCAAAAAAGCCTACTTTGTTAGGTAGATGATCTCCAGAGTCAGCAAAAGGCAAGTACTAATCTTTTTTTTTTTTTTCCTGAGACAAAGTCTCACTCTGTTGCCCAGGCTGGAGTGCAGTGGCACCATCTCAGCTCACTGCAACCTCCACCTCCAGGGTTCAAGCAATTCTCCTGCCTCAGCCTCCCAAGTAACTGGGATTACAGGCATGTGCCACCATGCCCGCCTGATTTTTTTTGTATTGTTAGTAGAGACGGAGTTTCATCATGTTAGCCAGGCTGGTCTTGAACTCCTAACCTCATGATCCACCCGTCTCAGCCTCCCAAAATGCTGGGATTTATGGTGTGAGCCACTGCACCCAGCCTGAGCCACTGCGCCTGGCCTAGCAAGTACTAATTTAGAAAAAATTCAGAGGAAAAGAACTATGATTAAATGTAAAGGTAAAAAATATAAGCTTAGAAGTAAATTTTTTCTACCTAAATTCAGATAGTTATCATGTATCATTTTAGTATCTACAAGCCCAATTATGGAAGAATCATATATATATATACACTTTATATATAATTTTACTGTAAGTTCCAGGATCCATGTGCAGAATGTGCAGGTTTGTTACACAGGTATACATGTGCCATGGTGGTTTGTTGCACCCATCAACCCATCATCCAGGTTTTAAGCCCCGCATGCATTAGGTATTTGTCCTAATGCTCTCCCTCCTCTCCTTGTCCCCCACCCCCTGACAGGCCCCAGTGTGTGTTGTTCCCCTCCCTGTGTCCATGTAAAAGAACCATATATTAAAACAAACAAGCACACCTGCTGATTCACCGGGGGCTGGTTTACTTTTCTTTTTTGCTTCTGGTAGAGGTTGGTATGGTCTTTGTCCCACAGGCTCATCACCTTGGATAGCTGTTAAATCATGCATACTGAAGCTTCTTAAACGTTCAGTTATTGCTCCTTGGCTCTATTTAATACAGAAGTGATAGATCCAAGAAAAAAATACTTTAAAAATATTTAGTATGCTTACATTTAACTATCCCTGAACATTTTATTAAGATAACTTCAGAAAAGCTGAAAGAATTGTACAATGAACACCCAATATTGTTTACATTTTGCGGTATCTCCTTTCTCACATATCTACCATCTATCCATCCATGAATTCATTTTATTTTTTCATGCATTTCAAAGTAACTTGTAGACATCAGTACATTTCACCCCAAACATTTCAGCATCATATTTAATTTTAAAATGTAAAAAGATGTATGATGGGCTTACCCTCAGAGTAAACAGCATCCATAATGTTGCTGTCTCCTAAAACTAGCACTTTGGGGCTTAAACTTTAAGATTTAGCGCAACTTTTAATTAATTAATTAATTAATATTTATTTATTTATTTAGAGACAGAGTCTCACTCTGTTGCCCAGTCTGGAGTGCAGTAGCGCGATCTCGGCTACTGCAACCTCTGCCTCCCAGGTTCAAGCGTTTCTCCTGCCTCAGCCTCCTGAGTAGCTGGGATTACAGGCATGTGGCACCACATCCAGCTAATTTTTGTATTTTTAACAGAGATGGGGTTTCGTCATGTTGGCCAGGCTGGTCTTGAGCTCCTGACCTCAGGGGATCCTCCTGCCTTGGCCTCCCAAAGTGCTGAGATTACAGATGTGAGCCACTACGCCTGGCCAAGGGCAACTTTTTAAAGTAAAAGAGACATGACATTGTTTTAAAGCTAAGGTAAGTCAGGACTGGTAATGGCTCTTTCTAGAACAAGTTAGAAACATGTAAGAGCCAAAGAATGTGGAATACAAAATGATAGTCAATTAGTGAATTAACTATCTGGCAAGACATACCTACTACTCTACATTTGACTTTAAGTCCTTTCCCTTAACAATATGGCAGATACTAGGCACAGGTGGGTATTTAAATTGAAATTAAGTAAAGTTAAATAAAATACAATATTCACTTCTTTTAATTGCACTAGCCACTTTTCAAATGTTCAATAGCTGCATGTGGCTAGTGGCTACTGTATTGGATGGTGCAGATACAGAACATTTCCACCACGGCAGCTCTGAAAGAGACATTTTCTGAACTGTTCATATATAACTACACTTCCCCTCCTAAAGTATAAAGCTTTGTAAAAGCAAAAAAAGAAAAAAAAATTCTAAATTTACCTACTTTAAATTTGCATAGCATATAGATGAGTCACTTCTTATTTATAGCTAGATTAAAAATATTCTTCTAAGGGGGTTTTTATACTTATTATTTCTTCTTTTCACACATAGGAATTTATGATTTCCTCTAGTTACAGTGTTACCATAGAAACTAATCCATAATGCTTCATCTCTAAATTTCAAAGTCAAAGGTGCTACAAACATTTGGACATTACTATTAACTTGTATTTTACACTCAAGAAAAAGGTCTTAATGTCTGAGTCTTGATTCAGTTACTTTGGGTTAATAATACATTATGTCAAAACCAAATGCCATTTCCATATCCCACTTGAGCTGTTTATTTCTACCATATTTTTGAATTGTGATATGAAATCATTAAAGGTCTTTATTCTCAATAAAAATAATTGGATTTCACACATTTAAAAAACATTTGTGGCATGGTCTAATTTATTATACTTGCTTCCTCCTTATTAGATATCATTTACTTATCAAATAGATAGTTGACAGAAGACTCCAGAGACATACTACAAGGAAGTGACCAGTGTTCATCTGAAACAGATGCCTTGTTTCTCAGAAATGTCATTCTCTTTATTTCATCTTTGTAGTTATGTGCCCTCTCTCAGCAATTCCTGATTTCTTTTCTTCTTTTTTTTTTTTTTTTTGAGACGGAGTCTCGCTCTGCCGCCCAGGCTGGAGTGCAGTGGCCGGATCTTAGCTCACTGCAAGCTCTGTCTCCCAGGTTCACACCATTCTCCTGCCTCAGCCTCCCAAGTAGCTGGGACTACAGGTGCCCGCCACCTCGCCCGGCTAGTTTTTTGTATTTTTTAGTAGAGACAGGGTTTCACCATATTAGCCAGGATGGTCTCGATCTCCTGACCTCGTGATCCGCCCGCCTCGGCCTCCCAAAGTGCTGGGATTACAGGCGTGAGCCACCGCACCCGGCCCCCTGATTTCTTTATCTACTGCCACACAGATGACAAACGACATGCATGTCCATGATACCCTTTACTCAATTCACATGCGATTTCCAAGGCTGGCTGTAATTCCCAAACCCTCCCACTCAAGAAGGTACATTTCAGGATACAAATGACTTAAAGTGTAACAGAATCAGTCTAATTTTATAATTATATCATCCCCAAACTTTGGTATGTTTAACAAGCATAATCAACAAATCTCTTGGGATATACCTCACAAATGAATGCACATAATACTGTTACTTCCACTGTTGTGATAGGTATATTTTGCCTCCAGAGCAAGACTTTTAAGACACTAGAGGAGAGGGACAAATCTTAGGCTTCTTCTATTCTCCTGGTGCACCTGGTATGCTACTGATGTTGAATATGTAATAAGTAAACTAAATACTTTTTTATGTCCCTTCTTTTTCATTACTCTTGACTGTTAAAGAGTCCTCCATAGATGGCAGCATGTTTTAATGTAAACACTGTAGGTTTTATGCAGAGGTTCGGCAGCAAACTAGAGGTATGGCCACAGGCTTCTCCATGGGTAGACTACACCACCCACCAAGGGTTGCTTCAGGTTTAGATTAAACATGAGCAAGGCAAGGCCCAACCTTGAGGTATCTGGGTGATCTCTCTACAGGCTGGATTTAAATTTAGCTCTTGAGTAACCAATGCTACCATTAGCAATACCCAAGTATTATCAACCTCTTCAAGGCTTTCCAGAAAGCCAGGTACTGTAGGGAAAAGCAAAAAGAGAATATGAGCCCTCTTTGAGAACCTCCAACACTTTAACAGCCATTATCACCTTGGAAAGACTTTCCACTGTATATTTTTTATGGGCCTAGAATAAAACTAATATAAGAGAGAAATTGGTGCAGTATTATGGACTTTGAAAACATTATATAAATTACAAGTATCCAATGTAACCAGTTTAAAGGAAGGGTATAATTATAAAGTAATCACTTCTGAAGGCCACCATATTCCTTCCAGTTTTTACATCTTCAACACAAAAACTCCAGTAATAAAGGAACTATGTTTGCTATAATAATGGTAAGTGGAGATATCTTCCCTCTACCCCAGAATTCTATATCACATGCATAATATGGTTGCAAGTGTGCAGTATGGCTATAAGTAGGCAGGGAAAAATGCAAAACTAACAACAGTACAATGTTTAGGCAGATGGGATGGGTGACTTTTTTTCTTTTTAAAAATATTGTCTTTAATATTACAAAATTAGTCAATATGTGGTATACTCTAAGAATTTCTGATCCATTTCTCACCCATGTTTCCTGTATCTAATGCTTTAATCCCATCAGTAAAAGAAAAATGGTCTATTTTTGAGGTCACAAATAGAACGTTACAGTCACTTGTAAATAACAATGTTAAAAGGTATTGGTTTTGTTTAAATAAATAATGCTTTGTGTATCTATTTTCTTCTATTTAATTTATATAATGTTAAGACAAAAGTATAAGAAAAATGAGAAAAGGACCCGGTGCAGTGGCTCACGCCTGCAATTCCAACACTTCGGGAGGCCAAGGTGGGAGGATCACGTGAGGCCAGGAGTTTGAAGCTTTAGTTAGCTGTGATCACAACTCTGCACTCCAGTCTGGGTGATAAAGCGAGACCCTGTTTCTAAAAAAGGAAAGAAGAAAGACAGACAGAAAGAAAGAAAGAGAGAGAGAAAGAGAGAAAGAAAAAGAGAAAGAGAAAGGAAGAGAGAGAAAGAATGAAAGAAAGACAGAAAGAGAAAAAGAAGGAAGAAAAGTTCTAGTCTAGTCTGCTGTATGGAAACAGTGGTCTTAGTCAATAAAGAGGAAAGGCAGGATTACCATTCACAAGATAATTTCATATTTCAGCACTTTAGTTCCTATTCTCTGCAGAATTGTCTGTACTCTGTGTATGTTAAAATTGATCCTAACAAAGTAACAGAGATTATGATGAAAATGTAAAAGTCAAAGTAATTAAGTATTCTGTAGAATATTTTACACATTGAAACTGATCATCATGAGCAGAATTGTTCCTGAACCATCTGAACTTCAGGTGGCACTGAATTCTCAGGGTTTGGATTTAGATGGGCCCAAATATGCGTCGGTAAGAAACTGAGAATACTGCAGGGACTGACTGGGCAGGAGGGCTGGGTCCAGAGCTAGCACACTCAGGCTCTGGAAGGGATTCTTCAGCTGAGAAGCAGCTCCCCACACTGGCTCCACAGAGAGCTCATTTACATCCAAGGGCACTAGGACATCTGAATGTCTACTCAAGTATCTAAGCACATGGTTGGCATCCATAAAAAGGGACCCTGCATGTATGAGTAATTCCAATTTCTTCACACTCAAATAATGCTGTCTTTGTTTAAATACTTCATTTCCTGGTTAAACACTACATTAAAATTACTATATTTTGTTTTAAATAAGGAGAATTTATTATGTTTATCAGCACCTTTGTATAAAACCTTCAATTTATTTTCTTCACATTTTAAATCACAGATTTAAAAACATATAACCAGCAATGCTTTATAATCTTACAAGCACAAAACATTCTTTTACAGAATAATTCTTATTATACTATTCAGTAAACAATAGTCACTAAGCTCTATTTCTTGTTGATCCTTGACATTACATTATAATTGCAGATAAGGTTAGTTCCTAGTTTTTAGGGAAATCTCATTTCCCTATGCACATTCAGCAATTGATCTGACCAAGCCCAGAATGGAACTGACTGCATTTACATTAGGTGAATAAAATATTTTAGTGTGTTTAAGATGAAAGCAATACATATTTATTGAAGAACACTGATAACATGGAGAAAAATTTTAAAAAGGAAGTAAAAATTATTTGTAA